CGGGGTAGGGGGTAATGTGGGTATAAGGACATATATGTAATATCTTAATCAATAAAAAAAAATAAAAAAAAAGATGTTCTATGTCTTGGCTGTGCTGGAGGTTAAATGGTCGTACACATTCGTCAAAATGCAGCAAATTGTGCACTAAAAGTATGTCAATTATATTGTATATAATTTATGCATCAATAAAGTTGATTTAAAAATTATTCCAATCTTAGTGTGCATAAAAAGAAATATATTGTCCCAGTCAGGAAAGATGCTTGTTATATTGAAGATGAATGAAGTTGCAATGGCCACTCATTCACTAGAGGCTTTGGAGAAGGCAGAAGGGTAATGAAATGATGTTTAATTCTTTGGCTCTATAATAATTTAAAAAATTACATGTGAGTAATTGGAATATGATGATTATTTTATTCTCAGTGGAGAATTTTTATGACCACATACTCTGGAATAGATAAGCGTAAAGATTGCTCCAAAACAATAAATCATACTCTTTGAGGTACTAATTGGATACAACCTATTGTTAAGCAGCTACTTTTTATCTCCAATTGTATTGTGAAGTAAAAGAAGAAATATATTTCTTTTTCTATTTTTCTCTTTCTCTTCTCATATTAAGCTCAAACACCCCCTAAATAAATACTGATAGCTGATGTAAATGAAATGCCACAAAATTATAAATGAAATGCCACAAAATTGAGAAGGAAGGATTTGGCTATGAAAAACTAGTTAGCTGTATGATTTAATTATCTGAATGTAAACTGGGAATCCTCTGAATAGTCTCATTGCAGAATATTATTTATAGTTCTGTTTATCTTTTTTATAAATTTGAAGAGAAGACACTTTAAAAAAAACAAAGTGACAACATATAATACATATTCTGTACATTAGTTTAAAAAATCTTAGCAATAGAAGAAACTTGTTTGTTTTTTAAGAATATACAGTATATATATATATATATAATCTCCCACGTTCAAAGGCTGGTAAATCGTGTTGTTTACCCATATCTTCAGAAAAAAATCACTTCTGTCGTGGTCAACAACCTGCTTCCCTATTTATAATGGTCTGGTCCTCTAGCAACTTTAGCGCGAAATTATAGCTAATTTGCCTACAAACGTCAGGTGGTCATAATAATCTGGCCACTCGGTGTATATGCATCGTTGTAGATGACTCTTGCATACTGTGTGATTTTTTTTTTTTAGGATAAAATCATTGCCAGCTCCAATGGGAAGTGCACATACAAGATTGTGATATATATTGCAAGAGTGCTTTTCAGAAATTCTGGACCAGTTTACCCCTTCAAAATGTTGTGTTAATTTCTCCATTCCCTCAGCAATACTTAATAATTTTTATCTAAAGATAGGTAAAAAGTGATACTCTCTGGCATTTTGATTTTATATTTTATTTTGTAGCATCTATTTTTGTTTATTAATAATTTGAACTTTTGCAAAATTCTTATTCACTTAACAGCTTTTTAATTTTTTTAAAAATATATTTTATTGATTTTTTACAGAGAGGAAGGGAGAGAGATAGAGAGTTAGAAACATCGATGAGAGAGAGACATCGATCAGCTGCCTCCTGCACATCTCCTACTGGGGATGTGCCCGCAACCCAGGTACATGCCCTTGACCGGAATCGAACCTGGGACCCTTCAGTCCGCAGGCCGACGCTCTATCCACTGAGCCAAACCGGTTTTGGCAACTTAACAGCTTTTTAAAAATATATTTTCATCCCTTTGTCACTTGACTTTAACTCTGTATAAAATCAGTTATTTTACATGTAGTTTCAATTTTATGTAGTCCCATCTCTTAATATTTTCTTTTAAGGTTTTTTTACCTTGGCATTATGCTAAGGAAAATTTTCCTACTTCAAGGGTATAAAAATATTCTTTATATTTTCTTCCAAAACTTTTATTATTTCATTCTCTATAATTAATGTTAATTCTCTGTGTGTGAATTTTAACCACTTAGGTTTATGGAGTAAAAATATGCTAACAAATGATTATGAAACATGATAAACTTTTGTGATTAATAATGGTATTATTTTATAATAATAATGAAAAATAATAAATAACATTTATGGAGCTTTTACTGTCAGCTAGAAATGGTGTTTTTATGTTTTTATATAGGTTTGGTATTAGTATGTCTATTATCTCTCAGGAATAAAGAAATAGATTCAGAGAGCTAGGTAATTTACCTATTATCTCATTTTGGGTGTTAGCTTATCTATTGCAGTTTAACAGGTTACCTCAAACTTAGGGACATAAAACAACAAACATTTATTACATAATTATTTCTGTAATCAGGAATTTGAGAGCTACTTAGATGAGTGGTCCTAGCTCAGAGTTTCTTATGTGTTGTAGTTAAGATATTAGCAAGGCCCTGACTCAGTGGATAAAGCATCGTCCTGTGGACTGAAGGTTCCCAGGTTCGATTCCAATTCAGTTGCAGGCTTGGTCCCCTGTCCTGGTCGGGGTGTGTTCGGGAGGCAATCAATGTGTCTCTCTCACATAGATGTTACTCTGTCTCTCCCCCTTCCTTCAACTCTCTAAAAATTAATGGAAAAATATCCTCTGGTGAGGATTGACAACAACAACAAAAAAGATATTAGCAAGGATAGCAGTCTGGGAGATCTGTTTCCACAATAGCTTACTCACATGAGTATTGGCAAGAGGCCTCAGTTCCCTGTTGACTGTTGATCAGAAGTATCTCCATAGGGTTGCTTGGATGTCATGATGACATGGCAGCTGATTTCTTCCCAAGCAAGTTAGAGAGAGAAAGAGAGAGAGAGAGAGAGAGAGAGAGAGAGAGAGAGGGAGAGGGAGAGAGAGAAATTTGTGGTAGTTAAAATTGCTTCATGGCTGAACAGATTTGTAATAACAAAAGGAAAGCCAAACATGGCTCTGGTTTCAGGGAGCCTCTGCAATGTTTGTGTTATCAGGAAAACATGAACTATAAAAATTCCGACTTCTACAACTCTGACTTGAGGCTAAAATCCTTAAACATGAACTAGCATGAGAACTGGAGGCAGGTCCTTAGAGTTATAATTAGTTTCTACATTTTTCTAATGCCTATAAAGCATTATAAGAGTAAAATTATTGAGTGTGAAAAGGATAAAGTGCTAAGAAAAGTCAAGATTGTGTTACTTTTAGGAATAATTGTAGTGACAACAACGCTAAGGATAATTTCCCTACTTCAAGGGTATAAAAAATCCTTTACATTTTCTTCTAAAACTTTTATTATTTCATTCTCTGTACTTATTTTAGTGTATGAAGTTGAACCACCTAGGTGCTATTTCTAGTTGTTTTTTTGTTTGTTTTTATGTGTGTGCTTGTTTAGGTTTTGTGTAGATCAGAGTGTGAAATCAACCAATTATGTATTATCCAACTCTTTGTTGCTTGCATGATAGTGTGTAACTTAAAATACTATAAATTCCTGAATTATTCCTGTTTTGGAAAATAATTAATTATGCTTTGTTAATTGGTGCTTGAACTGTGTAGATTTAGCTTAGAGAGACTAAACATAGAACATGATGTAGTGTTCTATAGAACACTGAACTGGGAAAAGATTTGGGTTTGGGTTCTAAAGCAGCTACCAAGTAACTAAAAAATCTGAGGTGCAATTAACATCATCTCTAAACCTAAATTTTTTTTTTTGATATTAGGAAGTGGGTGAGAAACTTGCAAATTTGCTATGATTCCAATTGTTGAGCCTAAATTAGCAAAGCTTAAAGAAGAGTTAAATTGCATGACTCTTATTGGTTACTAGAGGCCCGGTGCACGAATTAGTGCATGGGTAGGGTCCCTAGGCCTGGCCGACGATGAGGGCCAATCGGGGGCCCCCTGGTGGTCAGTGCACGTCATAGCGAGCGATAGAACTCCCAGTATCCTGGTTGAACTCCCTAGGGGACACTTTGCATATTAGACTTTTATATATATAGACTAGAGGCCCAGTGCACAAAAATTTGTGCACTCGGGGGTAAGGGGTCCCTCAGCCTGGCCTGTGCCCTTTCGCAGTCTGGGACCCCTCGGGGGTGACCACTTGCTGGCTTAGGCCTGCTCCCCGGGGGATTGGGCCTAAGATGGCAATCAGACATCCCTCTGGCAGCCCGGAAGCCCTCGGGGGAAGTCTACTTTCCAGCGGGGAGCAGACCTAAGCTGCAGTCAGACATCCTTAGCGCTGCTGAGGAGGCAGGAGAGGCTCCCACCACCACCGCTGTACTGGCAGCCATCAGCCTGGCTTGTGGCTGAGCAGAGCTCCCCCCTGTGAGAGCGCACTGACCACCAGAGGGCAGCTCCTGCATTGAGCATCTGCCCCCTGGTGGTCAGTGTGTGTCATAGTGACCAGTCATTCCCAGTCTTTCTGCTGTTAGGGTCAGTTTGCATATTACCCTTTTACTATATAGGACAGAGGCCTGGTGCACGGGTGGGGGCCGGCGGCTGGTTTGCCCTGAAGAGGGTCCCGGATCAGCGTGGGGGTCCCGCTTGGGTGCCTGGCCAGCCTGGATGAGGGGATGATGGCTGTTTGCAGCTGGTCACACCCCCTTCAGGGTGGGGGTCCCCACTGGGGTGCCTGGCCAGCCTGGATGAGGGGATGATGGCTGTTTGCAGCTGGTCACACCCCCTTCAGGGTGGGGGTCCCCACTGGGGTGCCTAGCCAGTCTGGGTGAGGGGCTGAGGGCCGTTTTCAGGCTGGCGGGCAACTGAAGCTCCCAACCTCTCCTTTTTTTCTTCTTCTTCTTTTTTTTCTTCTGGGATTTATTTACCTTCTATAGCTGTCACTGGAGCTGAGAGCCGGCTCCAGCTCTGAGGCCGCAGCTGGCTGAAAGCAGGTATCTGGGGTTTGTTTAGCTTCTATAATTGAAACATTGTTGCTTCCGGAGCTCAGAGCCGGGCCGCGGCAGGCGGGGAACCTTGGCTTCCTCCATCACTGGAGCAAGCAAGCCTCATGTTCGCTTCAGCTGCATGGCTGCCGGCCGCCATCTTTGTTGGCAGTTAATTTGCATATCCTGCTGATTAGCCAATGGGAAGCGTAGCGGAAGTATGGTTAATTACCATGTTTGTCTATTATTAGATAGGATTTCAGTCCTTCCTAGGAAAGATAAATGAAAAAGAATAGCCTATACTGAAAGTTGAAATAGTGTCTTTTACTGCTCAGTATGAACAGATTATTTGATATTTTTATCTTAATAAGAAATGTTTTCCTTCACAGCTATTTCTCTGTTGTTTACTCATCAGTTGAGTGATAGGCTTTCTGTCTTGGGTATATAAAAAGTGTGGTATATTTCAATGTCTCATATGTTAAAATTTTGAATTTTTATTTCTTCAAAGCAGATATTGACTAATGGGAGAGAATTGACTATGATTGTGCCTACAGAGTAAATAATTTAAACAATTGAACATGAAAGCCCAATTTAATTGAAATTACAATCATTAGTATTTTTTATGGTAAAGATGGAGGTTTTATTTTCACTATAGTGCCAAACTAACCACAAACTAAACCAAATAAAAACTTTGCAATATTTTTCATCCTTTTTTACATGTGTTTCTGTGTTGTTATATTGAACCTCTTATGTTTGATTCAGAATTTAAGTATAATGGACTGATACACAGGGCATTGAGATAATTTAAGAAGAAAAATGGCTCTCAGCTTTCATTATTGAAATTTCTGAATTATAGACTGAATATACATATTACAATGCAAGTTAGAATGAGATACAGTAAAATCTCATTAATAAATATGTTAATATAAGCATATGTAATTTACATGAATTTAATCATGTGCATTAAGTAAAAGAAAAAATATCTAGTTATTGTGCAAGTACTTGATACATATTCTACTAAAATGAGCTCTTGCTTATTAGTGAGCTCATCACTCTCAGAATGAAACAGGTGACATGGTTGAACCCTGTATCCTTTTCATGTGAGCATCTTCCCATTCTGAATTATTCTAATATTTCTACTATTTGATGACACTTAAATAAATTATGCATAGAACCTGAAATCAGTTCAACTATTTTCTATGGTGCTTAACTGAAAGAAAAATAAAAACAAACAAACAAGCAATACAACAGAAAAACAGTTCTAATGATGGAGGGAAAAAAAGGCTGGTTAGATTTATTGAAAGAGGTGTATATTTTCCAGTGTGCTACATCTTTTAAAGAGATATCTCAAATGATTTAGAAGAGTACTTCTCTTGTTTGGAGCTCACGTTAAAAAAAACCATATAGGTTTTGTTTTGTACTTCTTTATCTGTATTGACAATATTTATTTTAGGGAAAAATTACTATTCCTGAAAAGAGAGCGAAAGTGGCTACTCAAATGAGAGAATCATGGGCACTGATTTCAGCATTAAGTTTGCTCTGTATTGTAGATTTTACTACAGTGTAATAAAAATTAAATAACTAGTGATATTGATTAATTATAAAGATTTTAAATTTAATTAAAAACCTGATTAAAAAGTGAAACTTATTGCTAATAGTAACTAAAAACAATTTAAACACCATTGCAGTGATTGTTTTGCAGTAGTGGGATTCTGAACAGTTATTTCTTATGAAATTTCTACTTTTTTACATTTAAAACAATTTTTATAAAGTATTTATAGTTTTATAATAGAAAATTAAATATACTTCAAAATTATAATAAAATAGAAATTTAAATTTATGAATTTTTAAATTAAATTAAGTGTTTTTGTTTGTAGAGGATAATTAGTGGTAGAAATGAAAGCTTGACAACGTCTTCTAAAGAGAGAGTTTGTCTTTCAGTTATAAACTTTGCAGGGGGAAAGATGATGAATTCCTGTTTAATAATACAACTTAATTCTAATTTTATCTAGTTGACTTCATATTTCTTTCAAAAATTTATTCATTTGTTAATTCTTAACTGAGGATATTTTTTCCATTGATTTTTAAAGAGGAGGGAGGGGAGGGAGAGAGAGGGAGAGGGAGAGAGAGGAAGAGGAAGAGAGAGAGAGAGAGAGAGAGAGAGAAATATCAAATGAGAGGCACATCCATTGGTTGGGATCGAACTTGTAACTCAGGTATCTGCCCCTGACTGGTAATTGAACCTGCCACCCTTCAATGCATGGGCCAACACTCTATTAGCCACATCAGCCAGGGCTATTTATTTATTTACTAGAGGTCTGATGCATGAAATTCGAGAACTTGGGGGGGTCCCTTAGCCTAGCCTGTGCCCTCTTGCAGTCTGGGAGCCCTCGGGGGATGTCTGACTGATGGCTTAGGCCCACTAGGGAGCGGGCCAAAACCGGCAGTTGGACATCCTTAGTATTGCCGCAGAGGCAGGGGAGGCTCCTGCCACTGCTGCTATGCTCGCCAGCCTTGAGCCTGGCTTCTGGCTGAGTGGTGCTCCCCTTGTGGGAGGGCTCTGACCATCAGGGGGCAGGTTCTTCATTGAGCGTCTGCCCCCTGGTGGTCAGTGCACATAATAGTGACTGGTCGACAGGTCGACTGTCTGCCCCCTGGTGGTCAGTGCATGTCATAGCGACTGGTCAACTGGTCGACTGTCTGCCCCCTGGTGGTCAGTGCACGTCATAGCGACTGGTCAACTGGTCAACTGTCTGCCCCCTGGAGGTCAGTGCATGTCATAGCGAGCGGTTGAGTGTCCTTAGCACAGCGGTTCTCAACCTGTGGGTCGTGACCCCTTTGGGGGTCGAATGACCCTTTCACAGGGGTTGCCTAAGACCATCAGAAAACACATATATAATTACATATTGTTTTTGTGATTAATCACTATGCT